TCCTCAATAGAAAAGAAAATATACATCCAAAAAACAAAACAAAAACAAAAAGCTATTAACTACAGATTATTCAAAGCAAACCGACACCCAATCTGAAGCAATCAAAAACAAAGGGATCCCACGGAACATAGGACTTGCCGAAGCCCAGAAAGATGCCAAGTATCTCACTCTATCCCATAAATAATCTATATCCCTATTCCCTCCTTCGAAAATACGCCCATTCCTCTCCAACCAAATGACCCAGGAGATTGCAAAAACTACACTACTCCAGAGGACTTTAGCCCTCTTTGACCTTCCAAAAACTTGAAAATCAAATAATAATATTTGAGCAACTCCTTTAGGAGCCATCCACTGTACATTGCCCAAACCAAACGCTCTATTCCACAAAAGCCTTGCCATCAAACAATGCAAAAACAGATGATCTAATGATTCTCCACTTTTGCAACACATTATGCACCATTGAGGATTAAGATACCATGAAGGTCTCCTCTTTTGCAATGAATCATTTGTCAAAGTACCCCCATGAACCAAGATCCATATGAACACTTTCACCTTAAGAGGAGCACATGCCTTCCAAATCTTTTTGTGAAACAAAAACTGAGGTACATGCGGAATATCAATGATTTTATCTGAGACAGATTTACAAGTAAAAGAACCCGACGAATGAATATTCCAAAACCATTGATCCTCCAAAATTGGAGACAGAAACATTTTCAAGCGTCGATAATAAAGATATCAACTCAGGAACTTTTCTATCATGAAGATTACGGGAAAAATTAAAATTCCACGAACAAGGAGCCAATAAAGAAACAGCCACGGACTCAACAGAACAATTATGAGATTGAGAAATTCTATATAAAAGCGGATAGGATTCAAGCAAAAGACAAAGAACCCACCCCAATATCTTCCCAAAATCTAACCGTATCCCCCTTACCCACCCTTACAGAAATGAATTGGGACCAAATTGGATAAATATGAGAGATAGACTTCCACGGAGCATGCCTATTACCCCTAGAAACCACCTGATAGTCCCTTCCATTAACATGCAACCCATATTTGCTTTTGACAACTGCATGCCATAATGAATCACGCTCAATTGAGAATCTCCATAACCACTTGCCCAATAAAGCCATATTTCTAGCCCGTATATTACCAACTGCCAATCTCCCTTTCTCCTTTGGTAATGACACCGTTTCCCATTTCACCAAATGATCCTTCCTTCATCTTTCCCTTCCCACAAAAAATCCCTCATTAGCTTCTCTATGGTTTTTGATATGTTGACCGGAATCTTGAGCAAAGACATGAAATAAATAGGAATCCCACTCAGCACTGTCTTAACCAAAGTGTACCTACCCCCACGGGACAATAAGGCCCTACTCCACCCTTCTAACCTCTTACCCATCCTATCCACCACTGGATTCCAAAACATGTCACCTCTTGAGTTACCTCCCAGTGGGAGGCCTAAATACTTCGTAGGAAATGTCTCAATCTCGCAACCAATCAAATTGGCCACACTTTGAATCAGTCTAGGGTAGGATTCCACATAAACTATAAAATGATGTTAAACAATTCGTATATATGAAAGAAAATAAAATAAAATAAAATAAATTTATGTGTGGGCATATAATACAATATTTTTTTACTTTTCAATGAAATACAAATAGTTGGTCGTAACAACGAATGATGCAAAGCTCAGTGAAACACAACATTGCCTACGTAAGCTTCCTTTTTTCACACATTGAGTAGTCAAATCGTAGAGCGACTTGTTGGTATATGCAGATGGATTGTCAAGTCATGTGACTTGGTGTATAGGCTTTGGTTTTCTCGATTTTTTTATTACAGTGACAACTCATCTCTTATTGATATATGTGAGATTGTCAATTCAAAAAGTCAAATGGCAACAGTGAATTCACTGATTTACCTTACAGTGAGCATGCCCTTATTTTGTCGGTATATGCGGATGGATTGTCAAGTCACGTAACTTGGTACACAGTATTTGTTTTTCTCTGTTTTCTTATTACAGTGACAACTCATCTCTTATTGATATATGTGGAAATGTCAATTCAGAAAGTCACATGGCAACAGTGAATTCACTGATTTACCTTACAGTGAGCATGCCCTTATTTTGTCGGTATATGCAGATGGATTGTCAAGTCACGTGACTTGGTACACAGTATTTGCTTTTCTCTGTTTTTTCATTCTACTGACAACTCATACCTTGTTTGTATATGTGAGATTGTAATGCAGAGGCATTTATTTTCTATGGTTTTTCCTTCAGTGTCTTTCTAAAGCCGTTCATAACTAACTACATAAATGACTAAAGGTGAAGACACAACCTTACAACTCATTTCGCCCTATGAAATTATCATTTATTTGTTTAAAAAAATCAGCATGGCTACACGACTCATGGGAAGGAGTGCGAATCACAGAGGTGGTAAGAACTTGCAAAGGGGTGACAGTTCACGACGAAGAGGGGGAAGGGGACGTGGCGATGCTGAAGACAAAACAACAATACCTGTTTTAGATTATGTTTGTGGTTATCGTGACAGGTTTGGGAAGCGACATTTTTTGATGCCCAAGTATTATCGAGTTCAAGGAGGTTCATGTATGGAGCCATCTGACAATCAAACAGGATATGGTTTATCTGACGCTGCTCGTCTCAAGTGGCCCGTACTATTTATAGAGCGGGTACAGCTGAAAACCTTAAGTCAGGAAAATCAACTTAAGGTGCCAAAAGCACGTTCTGTTGAGATCTAAAAGGAAGATCCTGATAATGTTGATCGACTATGTGAAAGACTACAACGTGAGATTTCTCAAATACGCCGTAGGTTAGCCCGTGATATGCAACTATACATAGTTAAGAATGATGCCCAGAAGAACAGAAGAGAACCAAATGTTGCGGCTATCAAGGGTATCATGGAGGATCCTGAACTTGTCTCTGACCCTGAGCTTTCGGATTATTCAGACTCTGAGATTGCCGATTTAAGCACGAATTAGGTGTTTATCTCTATACTTCGGCAATATTAGGTCATGCATTAATATGTAATGTATGTGTTAGACTAAGTGTTTCCGTAATGAGTTTGTCAGATTGTCTGCCTAATAGTTGTCTATCTAACTGTTATGTTTATGTATTGTGTGTTCAGTTCAGGGTGTCCAGGATGTATGTATTGTGTGTTCAGTTCATGGTGTCCATAATATATTTTTGTGAGAGACTTATGTCTGTACTACCTATGTAACTGAAAACTGTTACATTTGCAACTTTAGTTATGTTGTTTTCATGCCCGTATGAGTATTTAGTAAATTAGTGATTTCGTATATTATGTATTAAGTTTATTACAAAAATGTTGACAAAATTTATTTTAGGGGAAATACACATTCTCTTAACTTGTTCATCTTCTCAATCGTGACAACCCAAAAATGTAGCCATTATTCATTGAATATAACAAATAACATTCTCATTCTTACAAAAAATACACTACCAATTGAATAAAACAAATAACCTTTTCATTCATTCATTCATTGCACAACATCAGTCTTGTGAAATAAGCGAAACCAATTGAATCACAATAACATCAACTCCAACCCAATATTTACATTACATAAGTTCCTGTTCGTAATCAGACACCAAATTACATACAAGTTACATTACATAGCAAAAAATGGAAAAAGTACCATTCGTATGTAAAAAATACATCACCAAAATTTGAGGTCTTTCTCTTCTTCCTTCTTGCTGCAGCTCTCGCGGTGGCCTTCGTCTTCTTGGCCTCCTCCGTGGTGCTCTTCGCGTCTCACCCTTCGTCGTTATTCATCGAACTGCAGAGTGTGTGGGTGTGTTTCAGACTGTAGAGCATGTATATCACCTTCTAACCCAAAATAAAGACAAAAGAAAAAATTTTTTTACATGAAAACGGCTTTAGTAAAGCCAAAAAAAATTTCTGAATTACATTATCACCTTCTAACCCAAAACAAAGACTAAAGAAAAAATAAAAAAAATTTACGTGAAAACGGCTTTAGTAAAGCCAAAAAAAAAATTCTGAATTACATTATCACCATCTAACCCAAAACAAAGACAAAAGAAAAAAAAAAAGTAACATGAGAACGGGTTTAGTAAAGCCAAAAAAAATTTATGAATTACATTATCCCCAAAACAAAGACAACAGAAAAAAAAAACAAAATTTACATGAAAACGGCTTTAGGAAAGCCGTATTAGAAAACGGTTTTAGTAAACCCGTTTTTTGAATTATATTAAAACGGCTTTAGGAAAGTCATATTAGAAAACGGTTTTAGCAAACCTGTTTTTTGAATTACACCAGAACAAAGACAACAGAAAAAAAAGACAATAGAAAAAAAAAAATACATGAAAACGGCTTTAGGAAAGCCGTATTAGAAAACGGTTTTACCAAACCCGTTTTCTGAATTACATTTTTTTGTGGCAATTTATATTTATGTTGAAAAATATAAATTGGGAAAAAAATTACTAAAAAACGATTTTACAAAAATCACTTTAACAAAGGAAAATTTTATTATTTTTTTTATTCATCAAAAAGGGCATTGGAAAAGCTGTTTTAAAGAAAACGAGTTTGGCAAATGACGGGGTTGGGGGAGTTTTTATATAAGTTTTAAAAATGGATTTAGGTTGGTGAACAGTAAAAGCGTAGTTCATAACCACGTTTTCAGGAAAAAATTTTTTTTAGTTAAAAGCGTGGTTCACAACCACGTTTTCAGAAGAAAAAAAAAATTCAGTTAAAAGTATGGTTCACAACCATGTTTTCAAAAAAAAAAAAATTAATTAAAAGTATAATTTGTAATCATGCTTTCTTAATTAAAACAGGCTTTTATAATTTTACAAAATTTCTACATGACAGCCACAAAAACATTAGAAGTGTGGTTCATAATCACGTTTTAGCCTAATTTGAAAATTCTGTCCAAACTAAGCTAATTTAGAAAATAAGTTGCTAATTTGACTAAAGCCCCCCATTTCTCAACAAACAAAACCCTATATATAGATTTTTTATCGTTTCTCTATGCATTCAAACCTCACTAAAACCCTAGAACCCAAATTTCTCCGTGCACACCAATGGAGTGGAACCCTGAAACCCTACAATTTCTCTCTCAATGCTTTCTCCACACTCTCTCCCCTTACCCGGAGCCCCGCCGCCACGCCGAGTCCAGCCTTTCTGAGGCTTCCGACCGCCCCAACTACGGCCTCGCCGTCCTCCGCCTGGTCGCCGAGCCCACCGTCGACGAGCCTAGCCGCCAAGCCGCCGCCGTGAACTTCAAGAACCACCTCCGCGGGCGGTGGGCTCCCGAGCCTCCCTCCGAGCCCAATGTCCCAACCCTAGCTCCCATTCCTGACTCCGAGAAGGACCAAATCAAGGCCCTCATTGTCCCCCTCATGCTCTCGTCTGCTCCACGGATCCAATCCCAGCTCAGTGAAGCCCTAGCGGTGATCGGCAAGCATGATTTTCCGAAATCGTGGCCGGCTCTGCTGCCGGAGCTCAAATCGAGCCTAGAGAAAGCAGGTGAGGCTTCTGATTATGCAACTGTTAATGGAATACTCAGCACTGTAAATTCAATATTTAAGAAATTCCGATATCAGTACAAGACCAATGATTTATTACTTGATTTGAAGTACTGTCTTGATAATTTTGCGGAGCCATTGTTGAAAATTTTTATGCGAACCGCGGGTTTAATTGATAATGTGGCAAGTTCCGGCGGGCAAGCTGCTGCGACCTTGCGGTCTCTTGTTGAGTCGCAGAGGTTGTGTTGCAGAATATTTTATTCTTTGAATTTTCAAGAATTGCCTGAGTTTTTTGAAGATCACATGGGGGAATGGATGGGCGAGTTTCAAAAGTATCTTACTGTGAAGTACCCTTCACTTGAAGATGGTGGTGGTGATGGGCTTGTGCTTGTTGATGAGCTGCGAGCTGCGGTTTGTGAGAATATAAGCCTCTATATGGAGAAGAATGAGGAAGAATTTCAGGGATACTTGGGTGGGTTTGTGGAAGTTGTATGGAATCTTCTCGTGGCTGTGTCTGCATCTTCTAGTCGTGATAGGTTAACGGTGACTGCAATCAAGTTCTTAACCACAGTTAGCACGAGCGTTCACCACACTTTGTTTGCCAGGGATTACATTCTACAACAGATTTGTCAGAGTATTGTTATCCCAAATGTGATGTTGAGGGATGAGGACGAGGAGCTGTTTGAAATGAATTATGTTGAGTTTATCAGAAGGGACATGGAAGGAAGTGATCTCGATACAAGGAGGAGGATTGCTTGTGAGCTTCTGAAGGGAATTGCTACAAATTACAAAGAAAAGGTGACTCAAATGGTTTCCAGTCAGATACAGAGTAGTTTGGCATTGTTTGCCGAAAATCCATCAGCGAATTGGAAACATAAGGATTGTGCCATATATTTGGTTGTCTCCCTTGCAACAAAAAAGGCAGGTGGTACCTCAGTCTCTACTGATCTGGTAGATGTTGAGAGCTTTTTCAGATCAGTAATTGTGCCTGAGTTGCAAAATCAAGATGTAGATGGGTTTCCAATGCTGAAGGCTGGTGCTCTGAAGTTCTTCACTATGTTCAGGACTCAGATATCAAAACCCATTGCAATGGCATTGATTCCTGAAGTGGTCCGCTTCCTTGGTTCTGAGTCAAATGTGGTTCATTCCTATGCTGCAAGTTGCATTGAGAAACTCTTGTTGGTCAAGGATGATGGAGGACGAGCAAGATATATATCGTCAGACATAAGCCCGTTTTTACTTGTGTTGATGACGAACCTATTCAGTGCATTGGGAAAGCCAGAGTCTGAGGAGAATCCATATGTAATGAAGTGTATCATGAGGGTTCTTGGAGTGGCAGACATTTCTCGTGAGGTTGCTTCACCTTGCATCACTGGGCTCACTTCTGTGCTCAACAAAGTCTGTGAGAATCCAAAAAATCCAATCTTTAATCACTATCTCTTTGAGGCAGTGGCTGTTCTTGTCAGGCGGTCCTGTGAGAAGGACCCTTCTCTTATCTCTGCCTTTGAAGCAAGCCTATTTCCCAGCCTCCAGTTGATCCTGGCTAAAGATGTAACAGAATTCTTCCCATATGCATTCCAGCTGCTGGCTCAGCTTGTTGAGTTGAATAGACCCCCAATCCCACCACACTATATGCAGATATTTGAGATTCTCCTGTTGCCCGATTCATGGAAAAGATCTGGAAATGTTCCAGCCCTTGTTCGCTTGCTTCAAGCCTTCCTTCAGAAGGCTTCCCATGAGCTTAACCAGGAGGGGAGGTTGACCCAGGTGTTAGGGATATTCAACAAACTTGTTTCATCTCCTAGCACAGATGATCAGGGATTTTATGTGCTGAACACAGTTATTGAGAACCTTGGATATGATGTAATTGCCCCCTACATGGGCCACATCTGGGCTTCCCTATTTACGCGACTCCAAAATAGCAGAACTGTGAAGTTTGTGAAGTCTTTTCTGATATTCATGTCTCTTTTTCTGGTTAAACATGGTTCCCAGAACCTTGTTGATTCAATGAATGGTGTTCAACCCAATATATTTCTTCTGATCTTGGAGCAATTTTGGATACCTAATCTCAAACTGATCACAGGTTCTATTGAGCTCAAGTTGACATCAGTTGCTTCAATCAGACTTATCTGTGAATCTCCAGCCCTCTTGGATCCTGCTTCTAGTAGACATTGGGGGAAAATGCTGGACAGTATTGTTACCCTTCTTTCACGGCCAGAGCAGGATAGAGTTGAAGAGGAATCAGATGTTCCAGATTTTGGGGACAATGTGGGTTATGGTGCTACTTTTGTACATCTACACAATGCTGGAAAGAAAGCGGAGGATCCTTTGAGGGATGTTAGGGACCCCAAGCAATTTTTGGTGGCTTCATTAGCAAATCTTTCTGCTCGTTCCCCTGGTAGGTACCCTCAAGTTATCAGTGAAAATCTTGATACAGCAAATCAAGCAGCCTTGCTTCAGCTCTGCAGCTCCTATAATCTCTCAATTGTTTGAGAAAGAAACTATCTGAAGGTATGGATTTCTTGTTTGCTACATAATGAAGCATTGTTTTTGTACTATGCTTACTATGAAATACTTGTTTATCAACTTCCAAATCTCCATTTACTGACCAGAACAAATAAATTAATGAATAAACTCAAGATTTGAATGTCAATTACCTTATGGAAAGTAGATGATGGCCCTGTTTGGTAGAGTTGTGAGAAAGTGCTTATAATTTATATCTTAACAGCTTATAGCTTATAACTATGAACATAAACTGATTTCTGACTTATAAATTAAGCTTCTCCTGTCCCACTCAAATAATAAGCTGATTTCTGACTTACAAAAAGTTATAAGTTATAAGCTATAAGCTTAAGCTAAACCAAACACATCAAAATAGCTTAAATTAAGCTGAAATAAACTGAAAAAAAGCTGTACCAAACAGGGCTGATGCCCAGGGGTTGATTTTGTAGAGAGGGAATTTTTAATGGATCTATTGGAGATTGTGTGATGCTTGCTAATGTATCTTAGGTTTTAGGAATTGTCAATTCACCCTGGTACAGCTTGTGAACATAATTATCAAATCAAGAATCATAATGTCAATAAGAATTGTAATTTGTGAATTGAATTGAATCAAGAATCATATATACATTTTTTTTGATCAGCAACAGACAAGATAAATTTTATTAAGGCACAAAGCCAAGAGGATCAGGCATCCTCAACAGAAAAAAGAAAAAATACATCCAAAAAACAAAACAAAAACAAAAAGCCATCAACTACAGATTATTCAAAGCAAACCGACACCCAATTTGAAGTAATCAAAAACAAAGGGATCCCACAGAACATAGGACTCGCCGAAGCCCAGAAAGATGCCAAGTATCTCACTCTATCCCATAAATAATCTATATCCCTATTCCCTTCTTCGAAAATACGCCCATTCCTCTCCAACCAAATGACCCAGGAGATTGCAAAAACTACACTACTCCAAAGAATTTTAGCCCTCTTTGACCTTCCAAAAACTTGAAAATCAAATAATAATATTTGAGCAACTCCTTTAGGAGCCACCCACTGTACATTGCCCAAACCAAATGCCCTATTCCACAAAAGCCTTGCCATCGAACAATACAAAAACAGATGATCCAATGATTCTCTACTTTTGCAACACATTATGCACCATTGAGGATTAAGATACCATGAAGGTCTCCTCTTTTGCAATGAATCATTTGTCGAAGTACCCCCATGAACCAAGATCCACATGAACACTTTCACCTTAAGAGGAGCACATGCCTTCCAAATCTTTTTGTGAAACAAAAACTGAGGTACATGTGGAATATCAATCACCTTGCTTGTTTCCACTTTTCAAAAAATTCTACTTTCTTATTTTTCGTGTTTTTTTGTTTTTACTGAATTTTTTTAATATTTTAAGCAATTTTTTTACTTTTTAGACACATCTAACATAAATACACCTAAAAAGTAAAAAAATTGTAAAAAAAATCTTTTAAAAATTCACTAAATACCAAAAATACAAAAAAAAATACAAGAATTTAGTACATTTTTTATATTTTTATGTATTTATTAATTTTTTAAAATATTTTTTCACAATTTTTTTACTTTTTAGATACATCTAAGTAAGATGCATCTAAAAAAGTAAAAAAAATGTTTAAAATTTAAAAAATATTCGCTAAAAATAAAAAAAATACGAAAATCAAAAAAGTCAGTTTTCAAAAAACTTAATCCAAAAAACTCAAACCAAACACACTGAATGATTTTATCTAAGACAGATTTACAAGTAAAAGAACCTGACGAATGAATATTCCAAAATCATTGATCCTCCAAAATTGGAGACAGAAACATTTTCAAGCCTCGACAATAAAGATATCAACTCAGGAACTTTCCTATCATGAAGATCACGGGAAAAATTAAAATTTCACGAACATGGAGCCAATGAAGAAACAACCACAGACTCAACAGAACAATTATGAGATTGAGAAATTCTATATAGAAGCGGATAGGATTCAAGCAAAAGACAAAGAACCCACCCAAACATCTTCCCAAAATCTAATTGTATCCCCCTTACCCACCCTTACAGAAATGAATTGGGACCAAATTGGATAAATAAGAGAGATAGACTTCGACAGGGCATGCCCATTACCCCTAGAAACCACCTGAGAGTCCCTTCCATTAACATGCAACCCATATTTGCTTTTGACAACTGCATGCCATAATGAATCACGCTCAATTGAGAATCTCCATAACCACTTGCCCAATAAAGTCATATTTCTAGCCAGTATATTACCAAATGCCAATCTCCCTTTCTCCTTTGGTAATGACACTGTTTCCCATTTCACCAAATGATCCTTCCTTCATCCTTCCCTTCCCTTCCCACAGAAAATCCCTCATTAGCTTCTCTATGGTTTTTGCTACGTTGACTGGAATCTTGAACAAAGACATGAAATAAATAGGAATCCCACTCAGCACTGTCTTAACCAAAGTGTACCTACCCCCACGTAGGGGTGAGCATGGTTCGGATTGGACCGGATTGGGGTAAAACCAGGACCAATCCGTTATCTACGGTTCCTGAAAAATTGGAACCAATCAAATCCGTTTAAATCATGGAACCAATTTGAACCAATCCATTTAAATACGGATTGGATCGGTTTAGGACCACGGATTCACATAATTAAATAACAAAAAAATATATATAACACTTTAATTTCATAAAAATATAAACATAGCACTATATTAGTTCCACAATAGCAACATCTATTTCTATAATGACATACTGTGCTAGAATTTAAACAACCATAAGAAAACTGGTTTCACCATAAATATTTAGACCATTACAAATTAAAACTAAAAACGAACAAACAAAAGTAATAAAAGAAGATATTATACGGTTTTAGGTTTGAGTTTAGATTTTATATAGAATAAGAGAAGATACTATGGGGGAGGATGTATAATAAAAATATATACTATTTGTATACGGTTCGGATCGGTTCCAATCCGGAACCATAGGGTTCAATTCGGAACCAATCCGTGTACTACGGATTTTTAATTTTTCAATCCGGAACCGAACCACGGATTCAAAAAACCAATCCAAACCTATCGGATTGGACTGGACTGGATCGGATTACGGATTTCATGGATTCTTTGCTCAGCCCTACCCCCACGGGACAATAACGCCCTACTCCACCCTTCTAACCTCTTACCTATCCTATCCACCACTGGATTCCAAAACATGTCACCTCTTGGGTTACCTCCCAGTGGGAGGCCTAAATACTTCATAGGAAATGTCTCAATCCCGCAACCAATCAAATCGGCCACACTTTGAATCAGTCTTGGGTAGAATTCCACATAAACTATAAAATGATGTTAAACAATTCGTATATGCTGGAAATTTGGTTATTATTGCCTTGATTTAGTCAATATTCTAGGATCTATTTTTTCCTATGTAAATATGGAAAGTAAAGGCTGTATAGAATCAGGAAAAATAGGAAAGTAGAAGCTGTCAAATATTAGCTTTAATTAGTTTCCTTTTCTGTTGTAATTGCTCTCTTTATAAGAGAGAATCATGTTCTCATTCTTTAAGTGATTAAAAATATATTCTTTCCTCATATTTTCTGAGTTGGTATCAGAGTAAAAAACACAGCAGCCCTAAAACCATCGTAGCCATGTCGGAAGTCACGTCCGAAACCACTTCAACCCCTGCCGCTACCATTCCGGTGAAAACGTCCAACTCTCACTCTGTCCAAATCACCACCATCCGCCTAAATGGTGATAGTTTTCTCCGCTGGTCACAATCTGTCCAGATGTATATCCGTGGGCAAGGAAAGATCGGTTACATCACTGGTGACAAGAAGGCTCCTGCTGTTAATGATCCGCTGTTCGACAGTTGGGACGCTGAAAACTCCATGGTTATGACATGGTTGGTCAATTCCATGGAGGAGGATATAAGCTCTAATTACATGTGCTATACTACTGCACAAGAGTTGTGGGATAATGTTAGTCAGATGTATTCTGACCTAGGAAATCAATCTCAAGTTTTCGAATTGACTTTGAAGTTGGGAGAGATTCGTCAAGGAGATGATTCCGTCACAAAATATTTCAATTCATTGAAAAGGTTGTGGCAGGATCTTGACATCTTCAACACATACGAATGGAAATCGGTTGACGACTACAACCACCACAAGAAAACTGTGGAAGGCAGCCGTATTTACAAGTTTCTTGCCGGCCTCAACATTGAGTTCGATGAAGTGCGAGGAAGAATTATTGGCAGACCTCCTCTCCCATCCATTGGCGAAGTATTTACCTGGACAGATTGTGACCAGCGGAGAAAATTATCGCCATTTAGGCGGATGGTGGTGATTTGGACAGAGTGAGAGTTGGACGTTTTCACCGGAATGGCAGCGGCAGGGGTTGAAGTGGTTTCAGACGTGACTTCCAACAAGGCTGCAAATTACTAGCGCAGGTTTGATGATAAGCCACGGGTTTGGTGTGATTTTTGCAACAAGCCTCGCCATACACGCGAAACGTGTTGGAAGATCCATGGCAAACCTGTCAACTGGAAAAGCAGCAAACAAGGAGAGAAGAATCGTGGCTTTCCTACCGCTAATGAAGCCGATTCAGGTCCCTTCAACAAAGAGCAGATTGATCAACTCTTAAAGCTGATAAAATCCAACTCCTCATCCGGTACTCCTAGTGTTTTGTTGGCACAAACAGGTAGAAATCCTAAAGCCTTCTCTTGCCTAAACTTCTCTCTGTGGATCATAGATTCCGGTGCTTCTGATCACATGACTAGTTTTTCTCATTTGTTTAGTACCTATTTCCCTTGTTCTGGTCATGACAAAATTAGAATAGCCGATGGTAGTTTTTCATCTATTGCAGGAAAAGGATTTATTAAACTAACTGAGAAAATTAATCTTAATGTTGTTCTTCACGTCCCCAACTCCCTAACATCGCTTTTGTCTGTCAGTAAACTATCTAAGGATTCTAATTGTCGTGTTACATTTTTTGAATCCCATTGTGAATTTCAG